GCTCGCTGTATGAAGTCTAGCGCCGGCCATATATAGAGACAAACGCATCGCTTCGAGAAGATGCCGGAGTGATCCTTTGCGGCGTATGAGTCTGGAAAGCAGAGGGTGTTCTGGTACAGAGCTGGCTTTATATAAATAGCGCGAGTTTGTCGACGAACAAGAAGTTTAAAATTAAATGTTGGATAGCAGTTCTGGATTTCTCAATAGGCCGTATAGGCAGCTGCCTAGGGGCGGCAGATTTCAGAGGACGCTCACTCGATTTCAGAGAATAAAAATCAAACAAGTTCACTGGTTTTCTCATGTTTTTTTTTATTAAATAAATGCCTATAGAAAATTATCAATCCTAGGTACCTACTGTTATTGTATCTATTTTATCTATATTACGACAATTTGGTTCAAGAATATGGGCATTTTCACAGTCACATTTCCTCTAATACAGTCTGTTCGCTATACTTACGCGGGTTTCGGATTAAAAATTTTTATGAGTATTTCCAGGTAAGTACCCGAAAGTTTGACCTGTTCTTTGGGGAAATATCAACTGGTTAAATGAAATGAAAAATAATGTACAACTTTTTAATTAAATAATAATGTAGAATCTTTTGTATAATTGTAATTGTAATTCTTCATTAATGGAGTCTAATGTGGCTATTATAAACCTAATAATAATTTTATTACACTTCACACAGAAAATATGGTATATGTATAACAAGAGGGTTATTTAGCTCAAATAAAAATAAAAATTTGTTCCATGTAGAGAATCAGTCTTTATCATCCAAAATATCATAATCGTCATCACTGTCATCACCATTAATTGTTATTATAATTGGACTTATTTCGTTTATTTTATTTTCACGAGTCCACCAATCTTCTATTAGTTTCTCGCACTTGGATATACAGTTCCGCCACACTTCTGGAGTTGCAATTGAAAGTGCTTTTCGCCAAGTTTCCCGAACTGCGTCGTCACTATAACCATTAGGCCCAATATGGTTGTCATAATTGTTTTGCTATTCCCCATATATATTCGACGGGATTAAACTGGCAATGATAAGGTGGCAGACGTAAACCTTTCAATAATCTGATCCACAACAAAGGTTTTTGGTTTTGCGTGTATATTATATTTGCCAAGCGTAATAATTCTGATTTTAATATATATATTGAGAAAATGGTATATGTTCCATTCTTTAATTTTATCAACAGTCCAAGAATTCGTTGGACTTTTGTTTAATACTTCAGGATGGTAAGGTGCATTGTCTAAAATAATTACGCTGGGCTCACTTAAACCTGGGAGAAGTTTTACATGCAACCATTTTACAAACATTTCTGTGTTCATGTTATCGTGATAGTCACTGGATTTTGATTTAGATGAAAATATTAAATCAGCTTCTTCTATACAACCTGATTTCCCTCCTGCATGTAAAATTATGTGTACCTTCCCTTCTCCGTCGGTATGTTTGATGGACTTTACGTTATCATCTTGCCATATTCTCTTGGTTGCACCCTTAGAAAATATCCATGGTTCGTCTAAATATATAAAATTCGCCCCTTCTTTTTTAAATTTAGAATATTTTCTTAGAAAGTTAATTCTCTTGTGCACGACAGAACTACTTTCACAAATGGCCTTTTTGTTATCCTCCTTTTGAAATTTGAATCCCAAGTTATGTATCACTTGCCACAGACTTGTTCTGCCAATGTCGTCAAATTTTCTATCTATTAATTCCGAGAGAATTGTATTTAAGGTCACATGTTCCTTGTTGGTCCTCATTCGATAAATGGTATCACGAATTTCAAATTTCTTTCCATCTAGAATATCTTTCGTTTTCATGATGGGCGAGTTTTGCGGTGATCTTTCGGCAGTTCACTATTGTGATTTTGTAATACTCCTCTTAATTTGGTTTCACTAATTCCTAGAGCATCGCATACGCGTTGTTGTACAGACATTACCGATTTTAAAGGACCACCATTTTCTTTATCATCCGTAAAATACTTATGTACACTACAAATTAGACTATCTATATCTAACACACATTTTTAAAATTTCCACTAAATTTACAATTTACAACAACACTTGCAAATAATCAATTCAACTGCAATATTTGTAACAAATTTAGTACCTACCCTAATGTTATTTTAATTTAAATCTGACCATTAGGGCAATTTTACCTAATTTCTTGGGAAGAGGCTTATTGGAACTCGTTGTCAATCACTAATTTGCATAATTTTGTTAATCCGAAACCCGCGTAAGTATAGCGAACAGACTGTAAAACTGCAGAGTGTGCAATAAAGCCTGGATCAAACTCACTACTGTATCTCAACGTTTTTAAAAAATCAATCTGTCTAATGTTTACCCTAATTTAGATGTAGCTCCCTGCATTGCACTTTCCACTCCGGCAACAAATAGTTCTTGGGAAATGAGTTTTTCCTGTTTAAAACGCGTGAAAAATTATCAAAGGTGTTCATTGTCAAAGAAAAAATGAATTCTTTAGTTCTTCTCTCATAGAAGCAGAGATCAGGGCCGCCGAGAGCCAGACCGGGCCCCAGGACAATTCTCCACATCGGGCCCCGCGACAATTTTATAAAACATTAAATAACAAAAGGTCATCAAACAAAAATTTCTCCTCCTCCTTTACGCACGCAAAAATTTCTCTTCTCCTCTACTTGAATTTCTCTAAAAAAAATGTCCTCAAGCAAAAATTTCTCTCCTCCTCTACTTGAATTATCCTCAAAAAAAAAATGACTTCCCTCCTCTTGTGTCAAATTTCTGAAAGAAACAAACACCACCGCTACCGGGCCCCCTTTATACCGCTGTCATGCCTCCATTTGAGCCCGGGCCCCGGGAATTGGTCCCGGCTACCCCCCCCCCCTAGTCGGCCCTGGTAGAGATAATGAACACCATAAACTATGATGACATTATAGATGATTTTGCTATTAAAAAGTCCCGTAAAAATTGCAATTCTTGTTTCTTTTTTAAGCTCTTTCTTAATGACTAATTAATTCGTTTATTTAACTTTAGTGCCTTCCTTTTACTACAAATGGAAAATTATTATTTTAGAAAGGCACATGGGGCGGTGGAAATAAAGTGGCCTATACTCATAAAAAATATAAATCCGGCACTGTTGGATAGTTAAGACAAATTGTATTAAATAAATTAGAATTGTAAGTTATAATAGTGCCTGTATACATCATAGCAAATGATAGAAAATACAATATGTTTTTATTCTAATAAAATTGTTTAACGATGTGGAAACCAAATCTGTTATGTGTATGTGTAACTACCTACAGGGTGTTTGGTTTAAATTTGTAAAAGTTTGATTCGCTCCCCATTTACATTGTATATTTAAGATAAATTTAAAATATAGTCGTATTAAAAAATGTCTTCGTATCTCCTATAATAAAATTGATACCGGTCAATTACGCACTGATAAGACACCTTGTATATGTTAATAGGCTAAAATGTTAGATAGATAGACAGATAGATAAATTCAAAAGGAATATAATGCTGCAAGGAAGTTCATTTGAAAATACGTCATAGCGATATTTAACAAACACGAGCCTGTTGATAAGTCTGACAACGTCGCGGGTCTAGTTATATGCGTTAGGAATGGTAATATATACAAAAATGAGACTAAAATTGCGGCTGCGCAAAGAGGTGAAATTTCACGATATTCGAAGGGTTTGAAATTATATTTTCAATCACTGAACGGATATATCGTCGCTTCAGAGCAAAACTAGCCTAATTCCGGTTTTCAACGACTTCGGATAGTTCATACAACTATCACGGATTTGTCCTACCTATTTCCCTGGGAAGAAAAGACAACTGAAAAAGTATCCTATCTTAAAATTTAAGTTTAATGCAGAACTACCCTATCTTAAACTATAAAGACTTTAAGTGAAATTTTAATCAGAGATAGGTTTGTTCTGCAACAGTGACAACTGCAGAACAGACCTAAGTTCGACCGCTCATGAAGAAAAAGATAGTTGTTCTGTTTAAAATAGAAGCAGTCGATATCCAGCTCCGCGTGATGATAGGTTAATTCTGTTTAGCATAAATTATAAGAGTGTTATTATGCTTATAGCTACTTAATTTTTTTTTTTTTTTATTTCAGTTTCATTAATAAATATATAAAAATTAATGGTTTTTTTTTGTACATCTCCCTACATTTAGAAATCAGTCAAAACACTTAAGTTGATGAATTTTCAAAAATGCAATATTAGCTAAGCAGATGGTCTACCCAAAACCGAAAAATATGGCAAGTGATCTACAAGACAAAAAAGTTGGGGTTCTCTGGTTTAAACGATATGGGTATATCATACAATTAATATAATTAAAGGCATACGATCATAAGTTTAAACCCATAACCAACCATTCAAGAACAGTGAAAACCATTGAGATCATGAGTCTGTGTGGCAACTAAACTTGTCGATTTGCATTAAATGTGATAATAGCCCCAATGCATCGGGTTCTGAAATATTTATTCAGTTCTTTTTTAAAACGATCGCGGCAACAGAATAACGGTGAGTGTCGAACGTTGTCTTTATAATTCAGGAGAATTTGATTAAGAAACATGGTTTAAAAAAAGACGGATCACCAATCACACTTCGAATCACTCTTTGTTGTTCAGGCGTTTTTCCTGGGAAACTGATTTCACACTGTTAAGGCATAAATATTCGCCTCCACGAAACCTGGATTTGACTACACATGCGACTTTTTATGGGGATAGCTTAAGTCAATTTATAGCCACTACTCTGCCAATCTGAGGTATTTGGGCAGGACAGTAATTAGGCAAAAATGGAAGCCATAATTGAGTAATTGAGACAGTATTTTCGTTAGCAATGAATATAAATATAAAAAAATGTATGTATTTACTTCATCCTCTAAATATTTCCAGGGGAGATACAATAGGTTGTACAAAATAACCGAAATAAGCCTGTAATAACTAGACAAAAAAGTCATATGTTTGAATTCCAAAATTGAAAACTAAAAGATAATAAAAAACCCAATTTTCTTTGTAATTTTATTTCAAAAATACCATACTATATCAACAGAAAAACAACTGTCAATCAACTTGTATAATACACAATATTTACAATAGAAAGACAATCTCAAAAAAAATAGCAAAAATATAATCAGATTCTACCCAAATTTACCAAAGACAACATTTTTATAATCACAAATAGGTATAAAAATAAATTGACGATTAGTTGTCATCGCCATCAAATGACATTTGACTTGTATCGAGTTTCATAATTAAGTAAACTGCAAAAAAAATTGTTTGATAATTTTCGGTAGCTTCTGATTAATGGAAAATAGAATGACTTGAAAAGTTTGACTAAAAATAGGATTGTCCTTAAAAATAATACAATACAAAAAAGACGAAAATAAATACTTAAAATTAATCAAATAAGTTAATAATAGCGCTAAAGAAAGGTACTGACGAATTTACTAAATTTTTAGTATTTCTATGTTAAAATCGAATTTACATTATATACAATAAAATTGTGGAATGATTAAAAATCTATAAAGCTTTGAAAGAAATCTATTAGAATATAATTTGTTTATTCGGTTGGATTTCTATTAATTGCCCTCAACAAAGAAAACATGAAAACTCGCACAAAAATAATGTTCTCGTTTTATCTGTCAGTAAATTTTTAATGTCAGCTGTCAGTTAAAAATATGACAGATAAGGCTTTAAACGATATAACATTACCTGTCATCTGTCAATAAATTTGTTGAAAGACACTGACAAGTGACAGTAAAAATGACAGTGTATAAAGATAATTATATATATTATATAAAGAAACAAACTATAAATCCCAAAGATGGGAATCTAAAATTGAGAAAAATATAACTGCAAGTTAAAGAAATTGATACTTGTGACCAATAAATATAAACTTCGTAAAAATTATACGAATTCCATTGACGAAGGGAAAATATTTTTTAAAACAAAAACTTAAAAATGGCGGCTTCTCAAAAAAAAATTCTGTAATTTCTTTTAAAAAAATTAACAAAGAATTCAAATAATAAAATTGTATAATATTTTTGTGGAATTATTCTCCATTTTTTTTATTTGTATAAAAATAAACACTGGCGTAATTTACATATTGGCACAAAATTTATATATTAAATGGGAGGCATTATTATTATAAGTGGTACAATCTAAATTATTATACACCTTCATAAAAATTCACCCATTTTGTCAAAAATATAAAATAAGTTGCTGCATATTCCTTGAATTATAAAAATATTTCTATAAAACAAAAAATAGTGCAACATCTTTCGATTTTTTGAAACTAAATGATGAAAAAGTACCAATTTCAATTTAAATTTTAGCACCAGCAAAATGAATATTAGCAAAATCATCTGTTTAAATAAAATACTATAGACCTGCTCTAACAAAAAGAGCTACCCTGTACAAACATTACTCAACTGAAAGTACCTATGTTAAAAAATAAAGTACTGCGTTAAATGAGAGATACATTTTACTAAGATCATTGTAAAAATATAAAAACATAGTAGATAAAAAATAAATACAGCAATAATAAAACTTAAGTATTTTTTCTACAGCAAGCATAAAAATTTCTATACAAAAAAATTAACAAGTCTGCAATTTTATTCCAGATCTTTATATTATTTTCTAGGCATATATTAGTGGTCTTTTGATCTATAAAATTTATTTAGAATTATTTCTATGCTTATTAATCATTAAAAATCTTAAATTCGACCCTATTTAAATCACATTTTCTACAATATTACAAATTTAATTAGTGTTACTAAAATATATTATCTTTGTGCAACCAGTTACAAAAAGACACTGATAGAGATTTAATTTTAGAATAGCCAACCATACAATTACAAAATTATATATTATGGCGTCATAAATGACAGCTGTCAGTTAATTGTCAACGCCAAACGTCAACTGTCAAAAAGATTCAAAAATTTAAAGCACTAGAACTAAATATCATTACTCCAGTCCAACTACAGATGTTAATTCATAATCTATCGAGAGAATCGAGAAAATAAGATAAAGATGTAATGTAAAAAATTATAAACAAACAGGTTGTACTATTCTAGAAATATATTGAGCAAACGATGCTCCCACCTACCGCAGTACTAAAAAAAAATAATAAAAATCAAATCATATAATATCACTGGGATGACTTTTATCATCTCGATCCTTAAAAAATCCTTTTTCAGTCTTACACTCCCGAATAGTCACAGTTTTAAGGTTAACCGTGACATCAGTGATAAACACTTGATCTGCCACCGGGTTCCTCGCCAGCCAATACTCAGAACCGGGACTTACAATGGCCGGTATGTCATTCGAAACGTTATTGTTGTTGTGACCGTTGACTGTGATGGGTTTTTCTTCAAGTGGGCCATTTTCTGTTTTTGGTTCCACCTTTTTCTCTGGCCTGTAGAACAAAGTTTAAATTTAAATCGCATTGAAATAAATACAAAGGTTGGAAATTAGTTAAATGAAATTATTAGGTTAATGAAACAATAATACTATTATATTTGGTGATTTTAATCACCCAGAAATTGATTGGAATACCTTAACACTAATATCGCCAGATCAAAAATCTTTTAGATTTCCTGGATTGAGACTTTTAGTTATCTTTCCAACGAGGATATGTTTTGATCAAAAATCACTACTGAACTTATTACTAATTAATGATAATAAATTTGTCATATATGTTAATGAAGAATCGCCCTTAGATATAAGTGACCATATAGTAATTTATGGAAACAGCTAAAATCAATATCACGCTAGGAACAACATATAAATTCAAAAAAAGGAATGTCCGGAAAATTAACTATACTGCAATAAATAAACACTTATCAAACAAATCAAGAATTTCCTACTTTGTGAACAATTCAAATTTATTTGAACATTATAATGCTTTCTCAAACATACCTTGTGATACCATAAATCAATTTCTATCGCTACTTCAGCTAGTGATAAGAAAGATTATTATGTTCAAAAAACACTAAGGATGTAGCTTCTCAGAGATTAATCACTGATCCTACAGAGACAGCTGATAGACTTGATAATCATGAGTGTCTACAATCAAAATCATGGCAACAACCTTGCAACCCTAACAACCCCTAAGTGTTTTTTACACCTGAAACAGTAAAGCCATCCACTGTCTTAAAACTGATTCAAATCAAATCCTCGATGAAATACCTGATATTCTCTATGTCGTGCTGAAACCCTGAAAATATCTTTAACTGATAGAATAAATCATTGGAGTAGTAGCGAACACCTGTAAGCACACGACTGCGATACCAGTGTTCAAAAAGGGAGCAAACATGATCCAGAAAATTATAGGCCAGTAAGTCTTACTAGTAGTAACTATGAAGTATTGAAAAAAATAATAACAAGAAACATCACCAAAGTTTGGTAGAATAATTCCTTCATCATAATATTATGATTTTCTACCTAAACGATAAGGAGTAACTAATTTGCTGTCATCCTTGAATCAGTGGATAACTTGGCATGATAATAGTAAACCCACAAATGTTATATACCTAGACCAGTGTTTCTCAAAGTGTGCTTCACAAAGCCTTTGTGGGGGCTCCGCGAAGAAAATAATAGTCATAGAAAGAATATGATTTTGCTCGAGGACTTTTTTTCTTTTTTTTTTGTTGTTTCTTGTTTTTTTTTGTTTGTTTTTTTTGTTTGTTTTTTTTTGTTTGTTTTTTTGTTTGTTTTTTTTGTAGTTTTTTTTTTAGAAATGTGTTTAGGGCTCCGTCAAATATTTTGCTTTTCAAAAAATTTTTGGTCGCCAAAAAAGTTTGAGAAACACTGACCAAGACTATGCAAAAGCATTCGATAAAAGTACTTTTAAAACTAAAACACCTATGAATTAGAGGAAATTTACTTAATAATATTGAGTACTTTTTAATGAATAGGTAATTTTGTTTCAGAGTTAATGGTCCAGTATCAAGAAATCATCCTGTATTCAGTGAAGTACAACAGGGTTATTGGGACCACTGTTATTGCTCCTGACTCCTCATTATATATCTAGTTAGAATTGCATTCAAATACCATTCAAAAGAAATTATTTTCAAAACATACGAAATCTATATCAGGCCTACAAATAGAATTTGCAATGTCAGTTTGGAACCTATTTTTTGTTGGAAGTTCAAAGAAAGGTAACTAGAATTACTCCAGAACTTTAGTTACTTATAAAGGCTTTCCATTCTACAACTCCAAATGCATAAAGATCGTAGACCTGATAGAAACGTACAAATGGACAAGTAACAATTACTCTTGTAGAAATATTTTTAATGTTTATTAGAATAGAACACATAGAGGACACTCCAAAAAATTGGAAAGAGAAAATGTAATAAGCTCCAAAGAAGAAACTATAAAAGAATTGAAAACTTCTTCATACATTCTAGTCCATTACACTGCATAACTTTTGTCATTGTATTGTGATAATAATTGTTCTGTTTTTGATGTATTGATATATTATTCTGTTGTAGTTAATAATATTCATAATAATAATGATAATCATATTCCGCAAGTTTAAGGGACTTCAAGCTTTTAAGGAGTTACTCCTAGAACTCAGAAATGTCGCCTCATTTAATACCTTTAAATATAAATTAAGAGATTATAAATTAATGAGCCAGCATCTCTAATATTTTAGTTAAAGTGTTATACCTTATGTTTTATATTTTAGATATATATATTTTTTGTAATTGTATTTAATTATAATGTGTTATTAGCTTTGCTAAATAAAAGAGAAATAAATAAATAGATGTGATTTTTTAATATTAGATTGTTTCACTGGTTTATCCGTTGGCACAACCAACTATTTTGGTTTGCATTTAAGGAGATTAAAACCATTTGGTACCATGACTCAAATGGTTGATTCAGGCTATGCTTGTTAGCATAATGCAAATGGGTGATTCATGCCTTAAACCCTTTATAAAACATTTTCCTGTTTTGTCTGAATATGTCAGTGAACGACTTGAATAGTTAAATCTGGTACATAGCGAGCACGACATAAAAAGCACCAGGTAGAGAAGTGGTTAACATTCAATTTTGATGTTGAAGCAAGAAAACATGAAAAATCGCACAAAAATATGTTCTGTCATCTGTCAGTAGATTTTTATTAAAACCGTTTTAAAGTGTTGAACCAGAGAACACTTTGGTTAACCTAGAAATCACGTGACTAAAGCCCTTAAAATATAACCGGTTATTGTAACGCATTAAGGCGGCGTTAGCAAATGTATTAGCATAGGAGAATTTTTCAACATATAAGACGGGCTTTCTAGACAATGAATTTATGCGGATTTGCTTTTATAATATTCTAATAGTATTGAACTAGTTCCTGAATATATTTTAAAGTGGAAAAAAATTGAGAGAATGAAGAAAATAACGAATTTGTGAAAATTTTACATGTAAAAAAGTCATCATAAATCGCTATAAAAACTATTTCAGGAACTAGAATATATTCCCATTAGAGGCTCCGCATAAGAAATATTTCATTTTTTGCTCTCATTTTCCAGTCTTATATGCACAAAAATTTTTAATTTTAACCCAAAAAACGCAACCAACATTACATAAAACAGGTGTAATCCCTGTAATTTTAGGTTCAGGCTATCTTATATAGATGACGCCACCTGAAAATATCAAATTTATATCGAGCAACGTTGTCATATTGTTATGAAGTATCGGAAGCAAGGAAGTTCGTTATTTTATTACAAAAATTAGGTAAATTGTGTTAAGTCTGGTTTTGGAGAAACATTTAAAACGTGTAGAGATTTTGTAAAATGTTTCATTTTTATATTACAAAATATAAGAACGTAATTTGTCAGATATTAAATATAATGTTGAGTTTTCTTTTTTCTGGCTGGATTAACGTGAAAATTGGAACAAGATGCATGTGAAAACATCGATCCTGGCCTTTCAAATGCATTTGTGGGTTCACAAATTAGTTGAGAAGAGTTAAAAGTAAGAGCAAACTTTTAAGCCAATTTATATTCTTAAATTCAACTGAAAAAGTACTTAAAATATTTATTGAAAATACAATAAATTTATCACACTGATTATTGCAGCACAGTTTAAATTTTATTAATATTATTATTATCTCTTGTGTATTTTTGTTTACATTGTATGTTTTTTTACTTTCCTATCTGTATACAGATAAGGAAAGTATAGTAATCATGATTTTTTTCGACATCGATTTTTTGACGGATTTTTACATTGTGGGATCCCCTGAATCAGTTTTGACTATTTTCGCGATGCTGTCTGTGTGTGTGTCTGTATACTCGATAACTCATGAACGGATAAACAGAAAAATACCAAATTTTAAAGTTAAGTCTTATTCCGGCCTGCGGTGAACTGATTAGATTTTGAGCACAGTTGGCACTTGGGGGTACTTTATAGGGGGTCATTTTTATATTTTATGGAATATATTTGTTATTTACGGTTGTAGAAGAAAATTCTTTAATTCAAATAATATTTTCTACAATTTTTGTTATATACAAAATTTTGCTAAAATGGTTCGTATTCCAGAAATTTGACAAAATGTAAAAAATTTAAATTTTTATGAAAATTATTTATATAAAAGTTGTTTGTGATACAATTTTCTCTTGTCTTATAAATAATTTCTCTAAAGTGGACCGAATTCGAGATATTTGATAATTAGTGTAAATTTAGAATTTTGAAGAAAACTCGAAAGCGGATAAAGAAAAAACATTATTTGTTAAATTGAAGCGTTATTCCGACCTGTGGTGAATTGATTAGATTTTGGACAAAGTCGGAACATCTGGGGACGGGGTTACTTTATGCGAGGTCGTTTTATATTTTATTGAATATATCTGTTATTTATGTTTGGCGAAGAAAATTCTTTAAATAAAAGTTACTTTTAATATTATTCTCTATAATTCTCACTTTTTACAATTTTTTCCATAAATGGACCGTATTCGATTTTCGATTTTTCGATTTTTTGATTTTTCGATCTAGAAAATATCGTTATGAAAAGTATCGCCTATCTTTAGTTATCTACCGGAAAGTGCCAGAATTACAAAAGCGTGAATTATCATAATTCACTCCGTGATATATGGGTACTATATGCTTTTAGTTAGGAGGTAGAATATTGATTTATTATTAAGTGGTCGTGGACAAAATTATTTAAATATGGTCCCTATAGGTTCGATATTCTAATGTTATATAAGCTTTGTCCCAACATCTCACAAAACCGTAATATTACGGTCATCGTCATGCGCACCTATCAATAAAGCCCAAAGTAGAACGGTTTTTATTTACTGCGCATGACGATGACCGTAATATTACGGTGAGATGTTGGGACAAAGCTATAGTGTTTGTCTCGTCCGGCGGTACAATAAAATGTTACGAGCACTTTAGATTTGGGAGGGAGGGGACGCTTGTCGGGTCGCCGGAAAGTAGTTTACACAACTTGGCAAACAGGCAGGTATAATTCAACATTTGAATTATTTCGCAGAAGTGCATCTAATCGCCATCTATTGACAACTTAGTTAATTTGTAGTTTTTGTTATGAATTTCCTGGCGTGCAAATTCCGTCTTAATTATATAAAGAACAAACTTTGGAACCCAAAATGAAAGAAAATATAAAGTTAAGTAAGTAAAAATTAGTAAAAATTCACTCAGAAACAAATACAACTATTGACATAATCAACTACTTGGGTTTGTCATTTAAACGGATTTAACAGCCGATTACATTGGAGGCGTCATTAGATAGGGACAGACAATATAGTGGGTAGAAAAAAAAAAATAAATATTGAAAAAATCCTAGGTTTAATCTGCAGATAGGTTATTAAAAGATAAATATATTAAGAGTATCTGTCATTTGTTAATAACTAATGACAGCCTATAATGATTTGTAATTAATTATACATACAATATGTTAACTTTTCCATCATATCTTCAGGAGAACGGTATAGAAACACAATGTCATTTGGTTCGAATCCCGCCGGATTTTTATTTAATTTAATGAATTAAATATTAAACCTAATGCATAGGTAGGATTCCCCCCACTCGACCAGTCACTCTTGAGTTCTAATTAACAGTGTCGTTCCTAAAGTGGAACTGGGAAACAGAAAACGAGGCTAATAACCTTAGCAATTGATGCTGATGACACACAAAAAAAATCGAAAGAGCATGGTTAAACCTATTATTTTATTGCTCTCACGTCTAAATATAACATACTGTATATTATATAAAGAATAAACTATAAAACCCAAAGCAGAGAATCTAACATGGAAAAAATATAACTGCAAGTTACAAGATATTAGTACTTGAGACCTATAAGGATAAAATTCGCAAAAAATTTGACAACTGACTCTGTTGACACAATCATCTCTTCGGGTTGCCATTTAAGGAGACTTAACAACTGCTTTAGAGTTGGGACATCATCAGGTAGAGGCGGACAATATGGTAGGTAGAAAGAAAAAATAATAAATATTGAAAAATCCTAGGTTTAATCTTCAATTCGTAAAAAAGTGCTAGTTTGAAAAAAAAAAAAAATGATAAAAGCACCAAATATTATTACCTACCTTTTTTCGTCAGTACGCGATGCCACTGGCTTAGGCGAGGCTGGCTCTTTTGTAGACGAATGAGGTAAAGTTGCATCTGCAGGTACTTGTCTTTTGTCTGTGCTTGTTCTGGGAGCTGTAGCCGTAAGAGCAGCAGGTAAGGAAGCAGGAGGTATAGCCAATGTTTCCTCATCGACGCCTTTCGAACTCTGACGTTCAACTGTCCTAGAGGCCGCCGAAGATTGTTTTGAAACTTTCATGGCCTTAAAAAAAGTATATGTTAAAAAAAATGAAATATAAAACCGTTTTCATTCACCTTAGCTGGAGGTGGACTGGAACTAGTAGGACTAGTCGTTATAGTAACGCCAATTTTTCCACTTTCTTTTGAAAGCACTTCTGCTTTCCTTTTTGTTCCAACCTCCATTCGGGAAAGGAGGGGACGTCTGTCTTCGCTGCTGGAACTATTCGAATTCTCGTTTTCAGCAGATTCAGGCGCAGGTGGAACTGTAGTTTCAGATGTGTCCTCAGAACCTATATAAAAAATAACCATTATTTTCTTTGTAATTAGCAAAATGCACATTATCCTTAGGTATTTTATTGACTGTCTTACATTTGTAATAAACAAGTAAAGTTAAATGTTTTGTTCTGTGAAATAGAGATAAACCACTAATACTGAATTAATTTTAATAAAAAAAAATGTGATAACCAAAAGGAAAAGTTTATAAAGGCTTGTTTTAAGAACTAAATTCTTAATGATTAACAATGGATTAGAACCAGATTATTGATCTATAGTGATTGGATCAAGATTAGTGGTCATAAAAACAGGAACAATGTATTCAGAAGCTTTTGATATATTTCATTTAAAATTCTGTATTAAAGTAAAAACACTAGCAATCGACACTAGCAGAACATCTTATGACGATTTAATGTAATTTTGGATTACCAGTTATCGACATCCTTTCACCCAGTTATCGTCACCTCAGTTATCGATAGTTTACCAGTTATCGTCGCCCCAGTTATCGTCAGCCCAGTTATCGACACTACAAAGACAGCATTAAGAAGTCGAACACTGGAGCTTCATAGTAGCCTAGTAACCGACAAAAAGTGTCAAACACTGAAGAATAATATGTGTATGCTCACCCAGTAATAGAAGCCCCTAAAATTTAGGATAGAATGCAAGTAAGCAATGAAATTTTACCAAAAACACGTCGATGGCTCAATCAAAAACCGCCACAAGTCAAAAAACAAAGAACATTACATTTTTGGTTCAATGGATGCAAAATATCATTAAAGTTTTACTTTAAATACCGCCACAAACAAAAATATCCTTAAAGATGCCCGAAAATCATTTAAAATCTAGCCACAAACTGTGTCTAAAACTGCCTCAATTTGAGTTATTTTCTGCAAAAACGCCCAAATTTTTTACAAACTATGCAATAACTTACTTTTATAATCGTAATCGTTAATTTTAACAGCCAAATATCGAAGCTTTCAAATAAAATATAAATATTTTATGTCAAAAACAAAATAATGATAATAGAGACTTACAAAATTTCAAAATGAAATTTTTCTAAACAATACTGTTTTAGTTTGTGGCAGTATTTGATTAAGCCATCGACGTGTTTAAAGATAAAACAAAATTTTATTCACATCTTAACTATTTATTAAGCATCAACCTATTTTACAATGTACTTACACATTTCTTTAGAAAAAAAAAAAAAAACGAAATTCACATGTCCTACACGTGTTCCATTTTTTGCCACTTAACTAAAACTGTAACCTTCAAGGATTTTTACAGTATTGCCAGAAACATTAGACTTTCGTTCTGGTAGAGAATTATGTACAAATCTGAACACATGCCCATATAAGGAGACTTTGAATTTTAAAGTGTTGATAACTGGTGCTCTTACTTTAATTAAAAGCAACTAATTATTTATATTTATTTAATTAAAAGCAACTAATTATTTATATTTATTTAATTATAAGTATTTGACATAAAAAATGAAGTTATATGTATGCTAAATATGCAAAAAATTTATACGAACCGGCCCGAGTATCATCATCTTCCACGCGAGCAGTAGTTTCATGTTTTGCTTTCCCTTTTGTGCTAGTAGTAGTAGTAGTTGTAGTGGTAGTCGTTTCAGAAGTTCCTTCATCTTGGCTTTCTTCTCCACTTTTTAGAGCCTCATCTTCTGTGTCTTCAGCTACAGGGGTAGTAGTAGGATGTACTTTTTTCTTAGGACCTCTTTTGAGAGTACCATCAGGTTTATGGTTTTGCTCATAGAGCTCAATTAAACGATTATCTAGAATATTTTCTTCTGGTTCCCAGGTGTTATGTTTCTGGCTCCATCCCTTCCATTTTACCAAGTACTCAACAACTCCTCCCTAGAAAAAGATATTTTTGCTATGTAGAATAATCTCTCATTTAATTTGTCTATTCTTTACAAAAAGTAAATGAAAAATATATCTAAGTGAATTCAAATACAGAAACAAAAAAGGAAACAATATTTAAATAAAAAACAAAAGTACCCAATTTAAAATTTGTTGAATATAAAAAAAAAATGAAGACATTGTTAAGCAAAGCATAGGGAGAAAATGGAATAAAATATCAAAACATCTAGTGAAATTTTTGTGCAAAAATTGGTTTATAGATCCTCCCTTTTTGAGGCCACTTATCATTTGATTGTCTTCTTTAAAGGTATTGTGTACCTATATTTTAAAATTTTGTGCCACATGACCACTTATTTAGGCATTTAACAACCAACAATTGAATTTTTGGTATCATGGGGATAACTTTCATGCTAACAAGGTTTTCTTTATAATCTTTTAAGACCTGCATCAACAAATGACACTGGCTTTCATTATAAAAATACAAGATATTGATAGGGTTGAATTTTGCACCGCTAGAAACCTGATATTCAGTCCCATAATTTATAATTCAATATAGTATCTAATGACAATTATTTTATTACAGACCCTTTTTAAAAGTTAACAGGTTAAGTCCTACGATGTTAAAGGGTAATTTTCACATCAGACCAGATAACTTTTTGGCAAATTTGAATTAAGTAACTATTTTTGTTAATACTTACTTAGTAAAAGTCACAAAAATACTTTTATTTGTAAAATAAAGCTATGTACAAATTTGATACATGTGGTTTACACCAAAAGTTTGTGTTGGTTGGTATTATCCTGGACCACGTGTACCATATTGTGTCACAACCAATATTAATTATTTATTTGAAAAAACAAGCATTTTATACACATAAAATTAAAGTTTGTACATGGCGCACAGAAGTAGGGATTGCAATAAGGAAGACCGGATAATCCAGCATCAATATAAACTTACTGGATCTGGTACCAATATGCCAGATCTGGTGATTGTATATTTTGGCAAAATATCCGCCCTGTTGCATTAGTAAATACTTTAAACAAGTGGTGCTTGTTCATGCGAGTCATTTGAGGTTGAAAAAGAAAATGACTGCATTTGAAAGTATTCATGATTATCTGCTGAACTGCCGGTTGAGTAAGAAACTCTTGATCCACAATAATAGGTTGCCTCATATTCCAAAATGTTCCAGTTTGCTAAGCAGCGCTCTAAGTGGAACTTTATCAAAAGCTTTCTCATAATCAAGATATATCACATCAGTTGGCTGGTTGTTGTCATTCCACGCTGTCCACTGGTTAACTGCACTTAAAAGATTTGTAACAGCAGATCTTTTGGGCATAAAACCATGCTGATTGCTTGGTAAAACTCTGTTTTCCATCATGAACTCGGTTACTTCTTTTGTAATAATCTTTTCCATTGTTTTACCGATACAGTTTGTAAGACTGACTGGTCAGTAGTTTATGGGATTCTGATATAAAAAATTCTATCTACACTTTAATTCCCTCAAGAAGCAACTACCACCTAATTGTTTTTTAAATACCCAGAGGGGTCATATGATGCTTCATTTCAAGGAAGCAACAAAAAACAGACTATTTTTGCAATATGTAAATAGAGAGCGTTTTGAGCACCTTCTACATTATGGATATTATTTTTTTAATTTAAATTTTACTTTATTATGGTTAGATTTTGAAGATTTAACAGATTACTTACTATTTACATTTTAATTTAAGCATTTAAGATCATGAGGTATATTCTGTAAAATTTGTAATCTGTATTATTTGATTAAAATTACATGTCAAATATATTCTTTTTCTTATTTTTATTGCTGCGTTTGGCTTAATTTGATTGCACTTTTAGTATATTACATCGTTGCCATGTCTATTTTAACTGGGGCTGGTTATAAAATAGCAAATAACTGAGCTAATAACAAAAATTGGAACTGATGGAATACTGAGTAGAGATTTTGGTTAAAATTTAAACAGCTTGGTTATAAATAACTGTTTAACCTGACAGTTAAAATTAACTAAAATGTTACAGAATGAGTAAATCACATAAGATCTTAAGTGTGATACATTCTGAGTACATGGCCCCTCTTGCTATTTACAAAATTAGGAGGTAGGATTTTTTGTCATAAAATGCATGGAATAAAAAAACAAAATTGATGTATTTTCACCTTTGATTTAAATAAGGTAGTAATTCATAGGGTTTAAGGGGGTAAGGCTAGACTTAATCTCCACACTGTTGTAAATAAAGAGGTAAATAACAATCAGAATGGATTTTCACAGAAATGGTAATATTGTGATAGATGCTAGGATAGATGAAATGTATTGTAAAATTAAATAATTACTTAGGATTTGACAAGAAAATATATTTTAACATTGTTTAAGTTTGGAGTAAACATCAAATAAAAAAAAACACAAATAGGTAAGTACTCATGGATGTATATTTTAAATTAAATATTATAATAAACGAATTGATGTATTGTTAAAAGTGTTTATACTATAAAAATTATGAAACAAGGAATAAAAGTATTTTAATATGGAAGTTTCTAAGCTCTGGTCAATGTTATTTTAAATAACTGTCAAATAATGCTTCATAACAATATTACCCAAACGAAATAAAACACATATATTTTTTAAATAAATGACCCATTTGGCGTTATTAATTAATATGTTTACCCGTCGTTTCCTTTTTCTGGTAATTCTCTCGGCGGCATAAACACCACTGTCGCCCACCATGAGATCCATTGTTTTCAAGTTTCTAGAACTCACTTCCTTCACTTTATTTTATGTTATTAGATTTTCTACAACGAGAAATGATAATATTTGAAATATTTTCCACATATTCCATGAAAAAGCACAATTTTTCATTGAATTTCAACGATTAAAAATTACTTCCTGTAGTGTCCATTTTCTAGATACACAACAGATAAAATAGGGAATTTTAGTAAAATTGTTAGGTTGCATCACTGGTAAGTGACAGCTGTTGTGTTCGTTATTTTCTTTGTCATAAATTTAGTTCCAGAACATTCATTGGAAAAGAAATGAAATATCAGGTTTTAAATGTATTAAATAAAGAGCAATTGATTTTAAAATATAATAATAATAATAATAATAATAATAATTTATTTAACAACAAATTGAATCTAATTCTAGGAATCATTTAATAGTAAATTAGTTATCAAATATATATTATAATTGGACTACACAAATGAAATGGAAATTTTGAACGACTAATCGGAGGTATTCCAGCTTCCAGCACCAAATAATACGAGGGATGTACCATTTGTATTTAGATAATAATGGATGTACTAAACAACTAATTTTAAGATTCTATTGAATTATATATACAGTATGTGACATAAAGTTGAATTCATATGGATTTTTTTTTAATAGTACGATTGGAAAAAACGTCGTAGAGCAATCACCTCCGCTTATTTAAAAACTTAAAATAGCCCATATCAAAGTAAAAATAGCTATTTGTGTATTTGGAGCGAAAAGTGATACTTTACCGCATGAGACATAAAGTTGCTCGGCAATCGGTCGAAAGTAACAACGAACGTTTCGCTCAAAATGATTACAAGATTTTTTTTACGATCACATTGATTTAAGAAATAGATATAAAAACTGAAATTTTGTCGTAAGTCACTCGTAAGTATTTTTTAATGTGTAGCCTATATCTAAGTTATTCACGAAAAAGAGTTGATATTAACTTGGGTAATAAAACAAAAAAACATGTAACTACCTTGAAAATCATTTATTAAAAAAAATATTAATATTATTACACCTAATTTAAAATAGGCGAGCAACAAAGCTGACACTTAATGTCAGTTTGCAATAAACGTCAACTTTGCGGTTGGATTTCGAAGCACAGAAGCCTACTTTGGATAGTGATCGCAGAAAATATAGCTATTTGTGTATCAAAGAGTGAAAAGTGATACTACGACGCGTAGTGAAGCACGTCAATCTGTCTAAGCGGCAACGAACGTTTCGCTCAAAATGCACACAATATTTTTTCTACAATCACATTGTTTTAAGAAATAGATATAAAAACTGAAAATTTGTTGTAACTAGTGTATAATGTGTTGCCTATATCTACGTTAATCATGAGAAAAGGAGTTGATATTCAAAGTCTATGTTAACTTGCATAATAAAACAAAAAAACATGTAACTACGTCCAAATAACTTAAAAATCATTTATTCAAAGGAAATATTATTATATACCTAATTTAAATTAGGCGAGTAACAATAACGACAATAAATTAATTTTGTCACTCGGCGAGCAACAAAGCTGTCACTTATTATCAGTACGCGGAAAACGTCACCTTTACGATTGGATTTCGAAGTGCACAAGTTTACTTTGGATCGTGATCGTAGAAAAACAAATTTTTAACGTTTTTTCAAAATTATATATTTACACGCGCAGTGAGTAGCAAACTTGTGACAAAATATAAGGTTTTAATAGATTCATTGGTAACTTTTCCAAAAGTAGAATCAACAAATAAAGAAAGACATTTGATCATTTTGTGGAACGCTAAAATTCATCAACTCTGTGGCGGTATTTATTCTCCTAAAAAAGATTATTATGAAATCTCTTAGTTGTTTTTGCGACAAAGGTTGCGTCATAGATTACTGTGAAGGTTGCGTGTTCACATTATAAACTAGGAGAACCTAATTATACATTATTAAACTGTAATACCAAGGCTATTTTGTCAGTAGACGGTTTTTCAAATTCGGAAAATGAATCTGATATTGAGAATATAGACTTAAGAAAATTGTTATTAGTCATGATGCTGGGGGATAGGGAATGAATAAAATCCGTTATATGGCGGCGGGGTGATTATGTTTTATTAGAGTTAAAATCAATTATGTAATTATGTAATAACCATGATACTGTGTTTAAACTTAATGAGACGTCTCTTTTGTAAATGTTGTGTAAATTATTTCAATATTGCCAATACCTACCATTATATTTTAAAGGGAGTTAGATGTTTTTACAAATTCCCTGAACCAGTGGACATTTTCGAGCAATGATTTGTTTTTTTTTTATTTTAGTTACATATTTAATTTATTTTTTTTTTGTTAGTTTTTACCCAGTACCTCAGTTAATTTTAAGAAACTGAAGAATGCCATTTTGTTTTAAAGAATGACAGACTGTTAAGACTGCTTTACTAAAGAAATAAAGGATAAGTTCTTCAATTTCGTGTTTCTTTATTAGATAGTAAGGCTAAAAATGTAATTACCCTGGATAAAAATAGTAATTTTCTTGGAGTTTGTTATTTCTATGGTAGGCGCATTTCCCTTGGAGCCAAAAATAATAAAAAAAACGGCCAAAAATTGTCTGGGTCGACTAAACCAAGGACTTACTATTTTGTCTGGTAACCAAAAACCTACAAAAAATATTTTCAGTCTTTAAGATTATGTTTTGCCAGATTTTAATATTTCTGGAACGCGATATCAAATATTTACCCATATTTTCAATTAATTTTTTAATTAATAATCGAGGTAATTTTATATATTGAGTTTTCTTTACTTTCCGTGTTTTCAGAACAATAAAAATGCTTATCTAATAATTTTGTGGTCGGGTTATTTTATTTCATCTCTCGTATATAGAAAGGGCAATTCTTTTGACAATGGAATTATACTTCATTTAGTCGCTTATATGACAAATGACATAAGATAAAAGGAGTGCGTTTAGAAACCCCGCACGGCGCGTCTCAACACATACATTAGAATAGGGTCCAGACGCGCCGTGCGTGGTTTCTAAACGCACTCAAGCGCAAAAGCGGTGTTTTGTTGACTTTTGACTTTGAGGTTAGGTTAAATTGTTTTAGCTGAACCATACCATTTGCCGTTAATTAATTCTTTTAAGTTATTAAATTAATTCACCAAATATGGCTGGTCCCAAAAAGAAGCCAAGGCAACCTACAAAAGCCGAATCCGACGACTCAAGCAATGATGAAAGTGATAATGGCACATACCATGGTCAAAAAGTAAGTTCCACGTGCTCCTAACCACAAAATTCAAAATCACTAATCTGTAAATTTAGTCCTAATAAAATTGAATAAAATATTGTTCAATATAAGGAAACAAATGAGATAATTTATTTTTTAGGAGATTCATGCGACATTTGAAGGGCGTAACCCAGAAGGACAAGATTTTCATGGCATAAAACAATTACTGAATCAGCTTTTCCTTAAGGCACATATAGATCTTTCTCAAATGAGTGATTTACTTATTGCACAACATGGAGTAGGTTCTGTTTTGAAGCAAAGCTATAATGATAGTGATGATGAAGAGGATGTAGATATGAGTGAAGAAAAAGACGTGTTTGGTATTACAAGTGTTATAAATTTGGGACTACAAAAAGAAACGCCTTGTGTACAACAATTTTATTCCCTTCTAGAAGAGTTATCTAAAAAACATGCAGATGAGGAAATTCAAAAATCTATTACCAAAATTGTTAATGAAACAAAGAGATTAGGGTTTCTAATAAATGAAAGATTTGTTAATATACCCGCGCAAATTTCAGTCCCTTTATTAAATTCATTAAATGATGAAATTGACAGAATAAAGAAAAAGGACCCTTCCTATGATTTTGAATATTTTATTATGATTAGTAAAATTTGTAAAACAAAAGATACAGGTAATTTAATTAGACGAATGAATGTCTATATTAAAATTTTTACTTACTCTAATTTTTCTTTTTAAGATGAAGTAATTTACACTAATGATGAAGAAGAATTATTTTCCAAGGAAGCTGATGTTAGTTTCGAATTTAATGTTTCTAATGAAACAGATACTGGTCTTGCAGGTAGATGGTTAGCCGAAGATAAACAAGTTGTTCCCTACCGAAAAGTTATCATTTTTAATGCTAACAAATTGAGGAATATTATTACAAAAATTACTGCATTTGTGCAATCATAAATTGTGTCCAAATTTAACTTTATATATTTTAAGTTAATGTACCTATATAATTTTTTTAATAAACAATTGTTGAAAATTTAATGTATTATTCTTAATTTTCTCAGTTTACAACTTATTTGCAAATACAAAACTATATACCAAAAACATAATATAATGATGATGGTTCTTGTTCAAATATTTCTCAAAGGTCATAATTTAGCTCAGTTTAAAAAATTGTTTAAGTACCTACTTGCTGTTTCCTTTTGAAATAAAAAGATCATAAATAGTTGTATGATCAAAATAAAACTTTGTGATTTAAATTCACTTGTAACAAACAATAAAAAGTTTCTCATGTAGGCATTATATCTGTTAATAAAGAATTTCATCTAGTCATGTCTCCAAATAAAAAATACTTTAAAATAATATACATAATACTTGTTTTAAAAAAATATTGGAATGAGTCAGTCTACTTTTTATTGACATAAAATCACTTGCTGGCATGGGCGGCCCCAGGGAGATATGTATCTGAGATGACATACTTTTTTTTAGTTGATTAAATCTATGTAATAAACTAGATTGAAGAAGAATAATATTCTCTTCACAGTTTAACAGACCCCCTTAACCGCCATCTTCAATTAAAAAATTTCAGAATTAATGCGCTACATCCCCTTTTCTTGAAGATTTAAATTTGATATCATTTTTTTAAGCTAGGATTTTTTCAATATTTCAAGCCCTCCTGTCCCCCAATTTTTTCAGAATCAATAGGCTTCATTCTCTTATAGAGCTTGATTTTTACTAAAAATTTCAAGTTTATATCATTTTTGGTTTTTGATATCTATTTTTTTTATTTTAGCTCTCCTTAACACCTCCATTTTCTTCACAAATTTGTTTAAATCAATTGTTTTTGTCCCCTTATAGAACTTAATTTTTGCTAAAAATTTTAAGTTGATATTATTTTTCGTTTTTGAGTTATATATTTTTTTATTTCAATTCCCCTTAAACCCCAAATTTTTATTAGGATTATTTTTCAAATTTAATGGGATATTTCCACTTATAGAGCTTGATTTTTGCCAAAAATTTCAAGTTTATATCGCCTTTGGTGTTTGATTTCTAATTTTTTTTACCTCCCTGCTTAACCCCCCCATTTTGTTCACAAATTTTTACACCCCCATTTTGTTCACAAATTTTTTTAGTCAGTAAACTTTGTTTTCTTATAGAGTTTGATTTTGGCTAAAAAGTTCAAATTTATCTTTTTTCGTTTTTGAGTTGGGATTTTTTTAATATTTCAACACCCCTCAACCCCCATTTTAATTCAAATTTTTCAGAATTAATAGGCTTTTTCTTCTTATAGAGCTTGATTTTTCCTAAAAATTTCATGTTGATATCGCTTTTTGTTTTTGATTTACGATTTTTTTTTGATTTCAACCCCATTAAATCTCCATCTTTAATCAGATTTTTTAAAAATTAATAGACTGTGTCCCCTTATAAAGCATGTTTTTTGCTAAAAATTTCAAGTTATTATAATTTTTTTGTTTTTGAGTTAGGATTTTTTCAATATTTCAACATATTCATTTTCTTTGCTCTAATGAAATTTTCCAGCAAAGTGCGTGGTTTTCATGTAAAATGCGAAAATCCACAAAATATATACATTTGTTTTTGCGTGCTCTAGCGACAAAAATATGAAGTATGGCTAAAATGTATAGATATATAAGATAGAAAATTGTTTATTCTTCAAAAAAAGTTTTTTTTAAATATTTTTTGAGAACGCATCATTATTTAGTTACTTCATTGTTACTATAAATTTTTGTTTCAGGGTATTTTTTGTCTAATTCCGGTGGACTATATTGATAAACCTTATGTAGGTATTAAAAAATACCGAACTAAGTACAAATATCACACACAAAATAGATTGAGATCCGCACATTATGAGTGGGTCCACTAGCTACAATTTGACACTCAAACCACAGCTCTTTTGATCGTAACCATTGCAATTATATACAAGAAATATCTTTGTCCATCAAGTCCTCAATATTTTCTTTTTTGTCGTACATCAACTTTATCGCATTTTTTTTAAGCTCTGGAAGATTGTCGCACTGGCTGAATTGACGTTTCTTGAAAGGCAAATATATTCCTTTTTGTAGATATGGCAGCTTCCATCAAAGCTATATGGCTTTTTTTTCAGCAGCAGCGACCAAAAGATTATTTTTTCTTTTTGTTCTTTAAGACTTTTGAGGCGTTATAATGGCAAGGGAAGAATTTCTGCAGCTGATATCATGATGTTTCTGACCTAGAAGTGCTTGGAGCGTCACAATCATTATAAGGTCGTTGTTAGTCTTCGGCAGATGTAATAAATTTTCATTTTTAGGATCTTTTAAGGTTTTGGTAATCGTCTCCACCTTATTATTCCTAAAATGGATACCATGTGGCTCTGGCTGCGTTATCACATTAGTTGCCATTGCGGGCGGATTAGCATCATCGATAGATGAAGGAGGTGGCAATTCTGTTACTGTCGATGATACAAACATCTTCAAAAACACCGAAATTCAATGAAAAAATTCCGTTACAGAGAAAAAATTCTGTTACAGTTTTCAAACTAGCTGCCTTGATGTACTTGTTATTGTTGAATGGCTGGGCTACCTGGTAATGAGTTATAACTCTGCCAGAATGGTTTCTTAGCCAGTTCAATAGATTCTGATTGTAATAAGTTGTTAAAGGGCTCTAAAAACTAACGTCTAAAGGTTATTTTGTCCTGTGAGTACAGGAGGGGGAAGGCAGAAGATAATACTATTTTGCCTTGCGTACTCCATAAATTTAATTTTTGTAACTCGCATAGCCGTCTAATATTAACACATTTAACGAAATGTTTAATCCATTTAAAAAAAATCCCCATTCATCCATTCTGTCTCTTGCAAAAATGCTACTGATCCAACCTATGCTCTCCATATATGAGCTCTATTTTCATATTTTTTACGTGGAAATATACTATTAGCGGTAGGACAAACCGATTAGCTGCATTACGCAGCAAACAATAATTTTGTAAAATGTTTTCTTCCACAGGTGGCAAAATTTTTAACGTTCTTACTTGGAACAGTGGATACACCTGTCTCGTCAACGTCCCATATTTCATCTGGATGAAATTTAAATTCTTTTAAAAACTAATAATAATTGAAAATAGTTTTTTATTTGCGTTTGTTAAATGCGGACGATCGAGCGGAGGAAGTAGATGCAGGCGTTCTTAGACTAATAGTGGGGGTAGTGGGGTTTATTTTACGAAATGCGTTTAGAAAGTCCCACCAAGCTATTTTTGCCATAGTCGCAAATCTATGTTTAATTCCCACAGGTTTAGCGATCTAATGTTCTAGTTTTCTAGACAAAAAAAGGTTTCCTTTTTTTTAGATATAGTATAATTTCTTGCTCGAGCTCATTTACGAAAGTCGTTTCAAACCCACTCAAATAGCTCCTTTTCCAGTCAATGTTTCTACTTGCTCTACGACGAAGGATGGTAAATGGCAGATTATAGGTCATTGATGCTAAAAGGCATCCCTTTTGTAGTTCTTGAACAGCTTTATGTGCGTTTTTTATGTTGTCCACTGCCTGTTAGATTTTTTTGATGCTAAAAAATAAGAAAAATTTCTAAAAACGATTTGTCTAAGATGACATACCATGCCATCTCAGCTTGCTAATGGTATGCCATCTCAACCAAAATACCTATAGAACACGTGCTTTTTGTGTTATAGCTTGATTATTATCCTTAGAGTACATTACTTTACAATGCGCAGAAACCAGATTGAATTTATAGGCAGTAGGCGTAGTCACAGACCTCCCAGCGTCTTATTTATAATATTGCACAGTTGAATTCAGTAGCGTAGTAAGCGTATTACTTATTGCATTTCTTTTTATTGTTATTTTCTTGTATTTAGTTTTTCGATTTGATCCAAAGAAACGTTTATTTCTTAGATTTTCGACTATTCAATTTTGTGTGTATTTTGGTACAAGTACAATTTATACCTAAATAAATCATTTAAAGAGTAAACAATTCCGTTTTATAAACGACCATTCTTAAAAATGAGTATTTTTACACCTATTCTGGTATGTAAAATCACACTTTATACAGAATAATTATTGAAAAAGGAACATAAGACCCCATCTAAAGGTCGAAAAATCGTGATATTTTTTGTGCATATTAAAACAGAGGTACTTTTAGAGAACCAGGGGTATGCACATCAATGAATCATTTACATATTACTCATATTTATATCATATCATAGAGAAAATATGGGCCCAAGTAAAAAACTGGGTGGGCCAACACAACACAACATTTAAATTAAATAATGTTGAAACAGAATGTAACCCCCGAGGAATGGGCAAACGTGGTTAATCATTGCTCGAAATATGAGGATGCGTATATTCATAAAGAACACTTAAGGGATGGATATATTCCTTGATATTTAATGTAAATACGGAATCATCTGACGAGTGGGATTCAGAATTGTCGGATATTGAAAATTGAAATAGATAATTACAAATATATTTATTATTAAGTAAAATTTTCAGTTGGTTTATTAATTTAGTTTATTAAAAATTTGACAAACAATAGTTGAAATTCTGACTAATACTTTTCATTTACGAATATTTCAGATTTAAAATATTTTATAAATGTACACACCACTGCTAAAGAAAGCATTGGTCATCAGTATGCTACACGCATATTTACACATCCTCCTATACGATGGCACCAGGGTGCTGAAATGTGTTAGCCTTTGTGGCCTACAATTGCACTACAGAAGCTCATTAATTTCGGCACCCATACAAATTGTATGTTATTTGAGACTTTTCATTTTAATTTAGCTGTGTCCAGGCCGTTGGAGACTATGCCGGTAAGCGTAGCCAGGTATGGGTTAAAATTTTTTGGTGGCGGCGAAGCCGCCACCCTACGAGAAGTCGTTGCTTCGTTTTCTTCTTTTTTTTTAATCCCAAAACACTTCAAATGCGTCATTTGAATGACATGATATACACGTTTAACGGCAGTTTAAGTACAGTCATTCTTATATAGGACGCAGACACCCTTGCTCACTGCTTTCAGCACTCGGAGAGGCC